TACCTACCTACCTACCTACCTACCTACCTACCTCCCACCTACCTACCTACCTACCTACCTACCTACCTACCTACCTACCTACCTACCTACCTACCTACCTACCTACCTACCTACCTACCTACCGACCTACGCGCCCGCCCGCCCACCCACCTACTTACCCACCCAGCTACCCACCAGCTACACACATCGATACATACGTAAGGGTAGACATCCTGCCACAGTTTATAGACTGCAAACAGTTGAAGTTCTTGGCTTTCCATTGGCATTCAGGTTATCCATTCATTGCCAGAATTTGCTTGCCTGCCTGCCCCGGACCATGGCAGCCGAAATGCCGTTGCCCAATACGCTGCAGAACTAATCGCCCTAGTCTCCATCGATCGTATGTTTCAGCCCACCACCAGGCATCTACAGTAAGCGCGAGAGTGGGTCCAGACATACCAGGCAGACGACGACGGGTAACACCAGCTCTGGCCGGTTGACACCAGAAGTTCAAAGCCGAGTGTTGAAACCTTGGGAAGCTTTGGATTACGGCCACGGTTTCGGTCGGTGTGTTGGGTTAAGGATGACCAGAGAATTAAGCTTCATCCTAGCTCATCTGAAGGCTGAAGCCCAGTCTCGGTCAAAATTCGAAGAGACAAGCCTCGAAGGTTCTGCCGCTCAGCCCGCTTTCGGCAGTGTTCAAGATTCGCGGGCTTGATTGGGGCCGGGAGCTTACGGCAGTAGCGACGGATTGTAGCGACCATCAGAGCAAAGGTGATGGTGCAGCTGATGTTTGTTCTGTTTGGAGTTGCTGTCGCAGCAATGCTGTCGTTCTTAAACTTGATGCCATGCTCGTAATCGCAATCGACGGCGCAGTTACGTCAGGTGGCTTTGGTCCAGCTCGTGACACCTGCATTTGTAGTGCTAAGAATGTGCCACCAGTAGTTAGGAGTTGCAGTGGTGGTGCCGGTAGTCGTTTTTGTCCTCGTATATAGTGATGAGAGCACATGCCATGAGACTTGTGACGCCTGCCGGGGCTGGATTGGAATGCTCGACTGGCTGACTAGTACAGTTTCCCCAGGGTTCCCCAGCAGTCGCAATATGCCTGCATGCAAAAAGGGTTCAGACGTATTATGGCCCCAATGTGCCCGGCTTTCCAAGTCAGTTACTTGCAGATTCGATGGCCAGATTTTGGTGGGGATATAGCGGTCTTGCAGCTTGTCGGAAGAGTCCGGAGGGTTTCCAGGGAAAAATGGGCTTGTGAGAGACTGGTATCCCTTCCATAGTCACAGATGGCTAGGGCTAGGGACGACAACACATGCAATCATGAACAGTCAGCTGCCGGCTTCCCCAAACAAGCCATGTCAGTATCAGGACCTGCGCAATGAGACCAACCAGACAGGCTGCCCACAACTGGGAGATTTCACCCGAAAAAAATTGAAAAGACGGCTTCGCCGGGCGTGCTGTAACTCGAAACATCGGACCTTTGATCCCACGGCCGAGCAGGTGATGAGCCCCCGCACGATGCAGGCCATCGTGTGGAGAAAGGTCATGAGCCATTTTGTGGGCTTGTGGAATTTGGCAGCTTCTGGGTAAAACAGGTCTAGCACTGTCTTCAAAAACGACGTGGTGGGTTCAGCATTCGGCTCAAGAGCCTTCGCCATGACAAGGCCTTCGTCATTGTAGCATTGTAGCAATGGCAGAAGTGACAACAGGAGCACCGGGCAGAAAATTAATACGTCAGCGACGAGAGCAACAAAAGCAGCAGCAATAACATCATCACCAACACCAATAACATACCGACAACGGCAAGAATATGACCAGGAATATTAAGAATGACGTAGAGTCGTAGGGATCAGGACACCACCAACAGCAATAACGACGACGACGACGACGACGACGACGATAGCAAGAACAACAACTACACGTACGGCTACTGCTACAATAGCAGCAGCAGCAGCAGCAACAACAACAATAGCAACAACACCACCAACAGCGGCGACATAATAAATAACTGCACCACCACCACCAACAACAACCACCACCACAACAACCACCACAACAACCGCAACAGCAGCAACAACAACAGCAACAACAACAGCAGCCAACAGCCACCAATCAACACTCAGCAAGCAGCCACCAACTACCAACAACATCCAGCAGCCAATCACCGCCAAAGACAACGCTACCACCACCAACACCACCGCCACCAGCACCACCAACACCACCGCCACCACGGCCAGGCACTGGCTGAATAGATCGAATAGGTGCTGGTCAAAGTCGCGGCGCCGAAACCTTCCACTCGAACAGTTTGTACCCTAGGCGATGTGCGCAAAACCCCAAGCTGCAAGTGTAAAGTGGGAGTCGGGGAAGTGCACCAACAACCCTTTCAACCACCTTTCAATGTGGACCCCAAGCCATGCGACCGTAACCTTTCCCAAGCCCAAGCCCTGCAAGGCCCTAACCCTTCAGCCAACTGAACAGCCCGATCAACGAGATCATGGCTCCTACAAATTACGTAACGGCCTTCAAAGAAGAGGGGGCGTTTATTGATGAGAGCTGCCGCACTCCTGCCGCCCTAATCAGGCCTGCCCAGCGAGCCGCAGAGCGGGCAGGCTCAAGGCCCCTTGGAGTTGCAAGAAATTTCATGGCTGCAGGGTGCTTAGGGCTTCCTAACTGAGGGTTTTAGGGTTTGGGTTCAAGACTCATTTGGGTCGCAGCCTGTTCTAATCTAAGTTCTAGTTGATGTGGGGTACGCCGATGCTATTCGCAAGAGCTCTAACCGGTGCAACGGTCAGAGTCGAGTGGCCGATCCGTCTTGGCATTTGGTGAGCAGCACGAGCACACCCCAAACTCCGAGCCTCACACACAGAGATCAGGCTTTCAGGCAACATGCATGAGCGGCCCGCAGGCTGCTTTGTGCTTGAGCCCGATTCTGGATGCCTTCGGGGCACGACTGACTGCTGATTCACAAAATGTATGTTACAGTAGCATGTATCTTTTTGTTCTTGCTCGTTTAAGCATTATTTTGGTACCGTTGGCCCTGCGAGAGATCTTTGCTGAGATTGCTGTCGTTGTTCTGTTCTGGCATTGCCGCCCCTCCCAGTGAGTGTTTAGGCTTTCGGGCAGAAGGCCCCCCCCCCCTTGACGTCAGCGGTCGACACGCCATGGCTCCGAAGCCCGGAAGCCCCAGGC